ACAACAGTTGAACTGGGACTCAGGCTACGCGCCTTCACCATCAAAATCGACCAAGTTCAACAACAGTTGAACTGGGACTCAGGCCATGAGCCTTCGCCATCAAAATCGACTAAGTTCAACAACAGTTGAACTGGGAGTCAGGCTATGCGCCTTCGCCATTAAATCAAGGCTATGCGCCTTCGCCAAGAAGTTCAAATACAGTTGAACCATGACTCAGGCTACGCGTCCCCGTCATAAAATCAAGCCCATGCGCCTTCGCCAGTAAGTTTAGCTACGGTCGAACCAAGACTCAGGCTACGCGCCTTCGCCATCAAATCCAACGAGTTCGACCTCGCTTGAACCATAAGGCTAGATGACTTCGTCCTCAAATCTAACAAGTTCAACCAGAGTTGAACCAGGACTCGGACCAAGCGCCTTCATCATTGAACTCAGCGAAACCCAACCTCCAACGAATCGAGGCGCAGGTTAGGCGCCCTCGCCCTTCAAGTAAGTACTCCCAACTCAAACTAAGATTGGGGACACGTAAAGTCCAGACCCGGTCAAACTACAAGGCCGCCTTTCTGTCATCACGGCCGACAGTTCGACCGCGCCCGAACTGGGACTAAGGCTAAGTGCCGCTATCGCCAAGCAACGGCTCCGACTCGCTCACCCCGAGTCGAAGAATAAAAGTCGTCAACAATCAAAAACTAACGTGCCTACCAGAGTCGAACTCGAAGGCAAATCACCCCTTCGAGCGCATGCAAAGAAAAATCTAAGGAGGAAAAAAACAGATACAAGGCAAATAACGGAAAGGAGATCTCATTTATCCACGAAATTAATTGCGGGTCATCCCCGCTTACACCCGGCCAAGGCCGATCAATAAAAAAAAAATAAGAAACACCTAAACGCCAAACGGCGAACAAGACAAGAAAAAATGCATAACATCTTTTTACTCGACGCCATCTGCGCCACCATCTGCACCAGCGTCAGCCTCTGGCGTCGCCGCGTCAAAACCACAGTCGGCACGGGCCTCACGAGCCTTTTGACGCGCCCCTTGAAAGCAGATTCGGTCACGACGCCGGCCTCCCACAAATTCTTATATACATCACGTTGGGCCTCGGCAAAGACCCAAAGTTCTCGAGCCTGGCTGGAAGAAGCGGCTTGATCCCGTAGGCGCTGATTCTCTTCTTCTAAGGCTGTGATCCGGTCCACCATGACTTGGGCGTCCTGCTCAAAGACACCGATCCACTCCTCGAGACTCGCTTCTCTAAAGGCCGCAGCATCCCTCTCCAACGCCCGTTGGGATTCGTGCACGCGGATAGCTACCTTCAACGCCCTAGCCCTCGACGAGGCATCCCTCACTTGAAGCTTCAATACCGCGACTTCACCCTCCAACGCAGTCACTTTCCCGCTCCATGCCGCAGCGGCCTCCGCCGCCTTAGCCTGGCCCTGGCGCTCACACTCAGCTGCAGCCCTCCTCCCCGCCTCAAGCTCCTCATCCTTCCGCCGGAGCTGCTCCTCGAGAGCACTCGCTCTGCCAAGTGCTTGCTGCATCTAAAGCTCCCACCTTGCCAATTCCTCGACCAAGGTCCGACTACGGGGATCATTCCTCAAGCGCATGCGCATCTCTCGGCATCGATCACGGTAGCGGCGGTATTTCTCCAGCGCCCGCAAAAATATCCCCGAACGGACGTTGGCTCGACGGATGCTCTCCACCTCCAACAAATAAGACTGCAAAGCAAAGACAGCGATTAAGATAAAATTCAAACTAAGATGAAAAAGAAGCGAACCGACATTATATTACATACCCTCAATCCCATCACAGCCACTTCGTTCATCAGTCCGACATCCGTGACGCCCCTCAATGACGCGTTCTCGGCCTCCGAGCACAGCAGCTCAAACTGCAGGACCAAGCTACTCCCTTGGAGTAAGTTCAGCTCCGCGGGAACCTCGACGAAGCGAGACCGCCCCTCTGTGCGCACCGCTGAATTGGTGAAGCCTTCCTGGAACATACGGACGTCGTCGGGGTCCAAGTCGGATTCAGACTCGTACTCACCCTCTACAGCATCTCTTCCTCCATCAGCCGCCGGCGAGGGGGAACCTCCCGCCGCAACCGCCAAAGGAGTGCTTAACTCACCAACATTACCAGCCGCTGAGGAACTACCTCCCGTCTCAGCGACTGGAACCACCGACTGAGTCGCCGAAGCGACGGCATCCTCATGGCCTAAGCCAGCTAGGGCAACCCCTATTGTCTGCCCACCCTCAAGAGTAGGCGCCGCGACCGCACCCCTCTCCGCATCCGTCGGAGGAGAGTCTAAATTAATTACCACAGGAGGAGCCGGCGTAAACACAACCCTACGCCTTATCAAGGGCCTCTCCTCCTCCCCGTGTGATGGTGATTCCGCCCTAGGGCGCACAACCCCCGATGGCCCCTCGTCCCGAAGTGCGGCCCGTGCTGGAGAAGGAACCGCTGAAGATTCAACTGATGCCGCCCTCGGTATTGAGCGCGACACAGGCGCCGCAGTAAGTCGAGCGACTGCACCCGGCCGACGGAAGGCCAACTAAGGGGCACTGACGCGGCGTGCCCTCCCTGATCACAGAAAAACAAAGTTGATGAATAGAGTTGAGACAAAGCGGAACAGAAGAAGAAATCAATTTTTTACCTGCCACAGGCCTACGACCATGCCTCTCCCAGAAAGACGCCCATGTGCGTATCCCCACCGTATGGGGGAGTACGGCCTCAACCCACTCGTGAATCCCAGCTAACGGAGCCGGCTGCAACTTTTCGGCTACAAAATTGATACGAGTTAACGTTTATGAGCACAAGACGTAAGGAGGGGCAGAAAAGGGAATTCGATGATTAGAAAACTTACGTGCATGATTCCAAGCCTCTGGGAACCCAGTAGAGCACGCCACTAAATGTTCAGTCCTGATGTAGAAGAAGTGCTCGAAAGGGCGAGGGTTGACCTCATCATCCAGCTTCGCAGTCAGGCCCCTCGTCCCGCGAGGGCACGCTCGAATCATGGTACCACGAACTCTCTGGGGAGCGTAGAGGCTAAGCACATGCTACAGCGTGACCTCCCTACCAGCCAATTCTGCGTATTTGATGAGCATTGCTAATAATTTATAAAGAGAAGGAGTAAGCTGACCCGGGCATACGCCATAATAACGACAGAAATGAACCACTAGCATTGGGAGCGGGAGCTTAAACCCCAACTTGAAGGGATAGGCGTAAAAGACGCAGTATCCCCTACGATCGGTGTGGACCCTCTCCTCGCTTCTAGCGAGAACGACGTCAGCATAGCTGGGAATGACCTCCTGTCCCCGTAGTTGGGACATCCCAATCTCCCCCAGTAATGGGGCTTCATCCACCTGATCCTCCCCACCGTCGGCGGTGAAATCAGTAATCGGACCTCCGGGCAGAGGTACTATCTCGTCAACCGACGGAGCCTCACCGGTCTCCACCAGTTCTGCATCGCCCATTGCCGGAAATGGCCCCTCAGTCATCGGTGAGTTAACCGGAAGATCCGTCAGAAGAACGTTTTGGGAAGAAATGCCTGCCATTGTTGATTCAATAACGAGAAAGAAACAAATTTTGGGGGACGAAGACAAAGGTGAAACAACAGTAAGAAAAGCTTCTTCAGAATCTCTCTCAGACAAACAATGAGAACAAAAAAAAATGAATGCCTCAGCCTTTATTTATAGGCAACACAAGTGGCCTTCATGCACCCCAACAGCCACCATTAACTACATGACCAACCGCACACCTGTTCGATTCCATAGGAATGTGCGTCATTATGACAGGCTCCATAAAGCAGCCTTGCAATCACCAATCGGCGTCTCGCCCTCGAAATGGTTATAACGACCTATGAATGCCGAGGAGATGCTCCTTGCGCCCTAGAAATTTTTTGACATCGCCAAACACGTATCAAGCGTGCCCTCACTCCCCTCGGCCGCACAACATACGACCCGTCCGCCATGGTCGACGGGTATGCACCCAAAACAAACGTAAGGATCAGAGCACAATGAAGCTCGACCTTACTCGAAGTGAGTTAAAAGGTCAAGCGCCTTCGCCAAGGAGGAGAGTTCGACCTCGATCGAACGATGACTTGATAGCACAATAACAAAATACTAATACTCTACAAGGCTAAGGGCCATCGCCAAAGAGAATTCGGCCTCGAACGAAGCAACAGTCGACCTCCCTATCCGAGTTTCTCAAACTACAGTCGATGGAATCCACTCATCGAGCTCGACCAAGGCCCGACCTCAATAAGCGGAGGGACTAACTGTATGGGTCAGAATCTGACTCACGATGATTAACGAAGCTAATCCCGTCTTAAGCTAATTCATGATTAATTAGTGGCACGACCACTCAGAATTAACGATATTCAACCCGCATCTGATTCGATCAGCAAGGCCATGGCCCATCCGCCACCATGAAGGCGAAATCCCAACGTGGTCACGACCACTTATTGCCAACTAACGAAGCTCACAGCTATAAATACCAAGAGAGGAAACCTTAGAAAAGGGGCTTCTTCTTCGCCACTATTGACAAGAGAAAAAAGAGATAACAATACACATATTATGGGCAAGAGGAACACCATTATAAGGCTCTGAACCTCTTCATGGAGAGGCAGACCAAACCAATATTATCAATAAAGGCTTCTAATGTTTCTCCCCCTAACCCTGAGTACTTATTTTCGTCTTCTTCATTTGGTCCAATGGATTATTACGTTTTGCTATGATTTTTCCGTGATTTACTTATATTATTTTATACTCATAAGATATGCGATAACTTTTGAGCAAACAAGTATAAAAATTATTTACGTGTACAATGTATACTATAGTATTAAATTGTAAATTCAATACTCGACTTAGCTCTAATGCATATAACACCATAACCTAATAAATACATGCGTAGCTAATAAAATAAAAACTTCCTAATGCTACGTGGGATCTCATGAATCATCCACGTCCTTCTTCCTCCCCTATAATCTCACCATCTGTTTCTCCTCACTCTCAAAACATAGGCTACAAATCAGCCATTTCAGATATCAAAAGTTCAGTACTCATAAGAAAAAACCTCTCAATTTCTGCATAATTCCATGGCTGCTAGCGATCAAACACCGGGGCCAATGCCGCCAGGTGATGGCTCTGTGCCGCCAGGGAAATCAATGACAATAGGGCAGCATATTATAGACAAAGGGGCTCAAGTGATGCAGTCTTTGAAACCCATAAAGCAGATGAGCCAACATGTCTGCACCTTCGCTATGTATAGCCATGATATCACTCGCCAGATTGAGATTCACCACTATGTGAGTCGAATCAACCAGGATTTCCTTCAGTGTGCTGTTTATGATTCTGATGACTCGACAGGACGCCTTATTGGTAATTCAATTCTCTGGCAGATTTTTTTACATTCAGAAAAACGAACATTGAGTAAAATATAGTATGAAAATATATACCTGGATTTTTGTGTTGAGATGTGTATTGAGAGTAGTGATTTGAGATTAAAATGGTTATCTCTTTCATTATTGGATTCTGAATTTTGTTCTATTTGATTTGTGGATGGATAATTGTGACGGTGCAGGCATAGAATATATAATATCGGATCGAATCTTTGAAACTCTTCCACCTGAGGAACAGATGCTCTGGCACACTCATGAGTACGAGGTTGCTTTTCGTTTTTCTTTGCCATTAACTCTTCCTCGAACTATTTTTTTTTTTTTTTTTTGAAAAACTGTGAAATTGAGAAAATACTTTTGGGTTAAATTAAATGCCTATTTGCAAACGAGAATTTTTTTTGTATGTTCAGATTATTTCAGGCCTTTGGGTGAACCCAAGAGTTCCAGAAATGCTGCAAAAGCCCGAACTTGAGAATCTAGCTCGAACTTACGGCAAGTGTTGGTGCACCTGGCAAGTTGATCGAGGCAAGTCCTGACCCTTTAATTTATTTCTTCGTCTTCTGAGAAAACATAGAGATGTCTTTTGTTTCTTTTGAAATGGTTTAAGTTAACGCAACTAGAAACCGGCTTTCATAAGTGTTGAGACTTTTGCCATTTTTTGCTTGAACTTGTTACTATTGTAGTTTCTTTTTAAGTTCTATACATTGATAAATATAAAAATATTTACAAAACAATGTCACTTGTATAAGGTAATTACAGATAAATTTAATATGATAAAAAATAATTACAAACGTGACAATTATGGTATAAATTTACCTACTATCACACGTTACACTGATACTATAAAAATCTTATAAGTAAAACCTTATAGTGCATTCGAATATTAGATTTCAGAACACTAAAAAGTGTTTGTATGGTAACGTAGGGTTGTGTTATTTCTCGTATTCCTTGAAATAGTTAATTATGGTCTTATTTTGATTGATTTGGCAAACAGTATAGGACAACTATTTTACTGTGTCTTTTGAATGTGACAAAAAAACGAATTTGGTACAACAATAGCTATTGTAACAACCAAAAACTAAACTAATAATTAATCTCGAGTTGTTGCATGACAGAGAAAATTAATGTCATTTGATGGTGGTTCAGGTGATAGGCTTCCACTTGGAGCACCTGCGTTGATGATGTCTCCACAAGGTGTGAACCTAGGCATGGTGGCACCAGAGCTAGTGAAGAAAAGAGACGAAAAATATGGTATTTCTTCACAGGAACTGGAAAAGACAAGAATGGATATTGCTGGGCCAGAGACCATGAATCCCTATGCTAACTATTGGATGCAAACCGGCAAGGGTTTTGCCATTGATGTCGAGCTTACTGATATGAAAAAGAGTGCACCTTTTCCATGATATATATATATATATATATATATATTATATATATATATATAAGTAGCCTGTGTATGGATCACATCCTATGCTTTCATGTGTTTAATAATGTAATTAACCTCTCTTTTAGTCGTAGCATAGCTCTTTCGTTCACTATTAGTTCTTTGCTTGATTGTAATCTGAATACTCAATATTTTGCGTAAACAATGTTACGAAGATTTATGAGGAAGTACTATGTAAAATTTCATCTAATGTTTCATACGTGCTATATTGTAATTGTTCATTTGTTTGAAATTAAAGGTAGTTTGCAAAACATGTTTCTGAGAAGCATCTTCTGATGAATTTAACTTGACATTTAGAGTAAATTGGGAGGAATACATTAGGGCGATACGTATTAAGTTCTTTTCTTTTTAACCTTTTAAACAATAGTATATACAGAGTCTCTACAATTCCCTAGGGACAATTGACATACCATTAATACCAGACTTCTGGCTATGTTGCATTCCATCTACAAAATAATATTGCAAATAATATTGCTTACTTTTAAACGATTTGACGCATACTTTTAAAGGATTCGATGCAGTATTCATCAATATTTTCAGAGAGTGGAGCAACAGAGCATCTCAATACATTACAGATTAACGACATATCGAGTGCAAGACCCCAAAAAAAAGGAGAACAATTTTATTATTTGGAATTACCATATATTTTTTCATGTTCTGGAATTACAATTATCCTAATCTTTATCCTTTAGTTTTGGACTCTATATTTGTATCTTGAACTCTATCCATGTTCTAGCTCATGATAAAGCTATTTGTTTGAACTCCAAATACTGAAAACGTGTCCCCAAATTCTGATCAGCACCTCGACGGTAAGCTAATACGTGGCAACCAGTTGCCACCTTATGCCCTATTGAATGCCTACGTGGCAACCCACAAAACCTCAACGTCCTCTTCAAAATCCCCTGAAAATAGAACATCCAAGATCTTCACTGAACCATCATATCTTCTCAGAAACTGTGGTTTGAACTTTTTTCCTACTGCTTATACTAATTGTTTTCATCTATGGCTGCAACGACAGGGACCCATGGTCAAGGGGAGCAGATACCGCCTGGAAAACCCATGTCAACGGAGCAACACATGCTGGATAAAGGTGCTCAGATGCTGCAGTCTTTGACTCCAATCAAACAAATGAACCAGCATGTTTGCACTTTTGCGCTTTACAACCATGACATGAATCGCCAAATTGAAACTCACCATTATGTCACTCGTCTCAATCAAGATTTTCTCCAATGTGCTGTTTACGACTCTGATCATTCCACCGCCCGCCTAATCGGTATTAGTTCACACTAGCTCTGTGGTCTCTCGATTTTCTGTATCTGCCATATGGTTTTTGAATTTCCATTTTCTATTTAGTAAGTAATGATTTTTTTTTTTTGAAGGGGTGGAGTATATAGTATCTGATCGTATCTTCGAAACCTTGCCTGAAGAAGAGCAAAAGCTTTGGCATTCTCATGCTTATGAGGTTTGTCGATCTTTTTTAGTGTCGTCTTTTTTTTTTTCTGTGCTCCACAACTATGTCCAGTTTTACTAGTTTTGGGGTCTCCTTATAAATTCCTTATATTCATCAAATATTGATCAGAATACTAACTGTTTGAACTTTTGGTGTTTTTAATGCGAGAATGAAAATTTGTGAAAAGATCGATACGTTTATCCACAAGTTCGTGTTAGTATATACTTCAAGTTGTAAATCATTTACATATTTTAATTGTTAAACGTACCTGATTTCGTAGAATTTTTCTTCTTTTCTTAAGGGCCGGTTGGTAACCCTTGGTTTCCTTATTGTAGCTAGGTTTTGAGATATTTTATGAATATTTTGTTTAGAGACTAATTGGTCACTGATTTTTGTGTAAATGGGGAAAAATTGGATTGTGCAGATAAAATCAGGACTATGGGTGAATCCTAGAGCTCCAGAAATGGTGGTAAAGCGTGAACTTGAGAATATTGCTAAGACGTATGGCAAATTCTGGTGCACTTGGCAAACAGATAGAGGTAACTAGACACTTCTATGGTACACTTTTGTCTTTGGGGTACATGTATTTTTGTAATTTCAAGTGCCCAAAAAATCGAAAGTATTGTCCTGATTCCAAATATTTTTGGTCCCAAAGGTGATAAGCTACCAATTGGGGCACCAGCACTGATGATGTCGCCGCAGGCAGTGAATTTGGGGATGATTAAGCCAGAACTAATCCAGAGAAGAGATGACAAGTACAATATATCGACTGATGCCATGAAGAGCTCGAGGCTGGAGATAACTGAACCCGAGTGGCTTAATCCTCAGGCAGATTATTGGAAACAGCACGGCAAGTGTTTTGTGATCGATGCGGAGGATGTAGAGATGAAGAAGAGAGCCCCTTTCCCATGAGAGCTAGTAGAGGATCAGTTAGAGACTCGTCATATATATATATATAGTCTACTTTTGTATTTTCCTGTACATGTAAAATAACTAACTGTGAAATGTTTGTCTTTTATCTATGAACTTTTTTTAGGTGGCTATTAACTTCGTTATATATGCTTGGAGGTGGCTCTTAACCGCGTTACATGTTGAATTGTCAATCTAAGTGCTTATTTTGAGGCGGCTATTAACTTCGTCGAGTTTCTGAGGCGCTAGATAACGCTATAATCAAAGAATCACGTTGCCATAGCTAATAAAGTTGTAGTTGTGTGCTTTTCGAGTTAATTCTCGTGCGGGTATAGTATTGCCGATTGCGTTTGACATTGGGTACCAATAGAACATAAGTTGTTGAAAATTTATGTGTATTACCATTTGTGCAACTCGTGTGAATTAGCCGTTTGGCATTGCTGTTGCGAGAGAGCTGGTTCAGTCGATCATCAATGTCAGCACGTCGTGCATAATGGGGATGAGAAATGTCATAAGTTGTGTCGCTTCACTACTTTTCCAGAATTTCCATGTGATTTTGTGATTTAGAGCACGTAGCGATTACTAGCTCGTTCACAAGCCTTTTCATTTACTGTTGTAGTCTGTAATGTAACAGTCTTACTGGTAGCTCATGCTCAGTCACGTGTGCTATATATGCTTGGAGTAGACATATATATAGATATGTGTGTGTCAGATGTAAATCTCGTACTCAACGGAGAATGTTGTCATATTACTCCCTCCGTACGAGTTAAAGAAGAAGACTTTTAAAATTTGTGGTTTTAAAAGCTTAAGGGGTAAAAAGTTTGTGGGGCCATGACATTTGTGTGGCTATAAAAACTTCTCGTTAAGGTAAATGGGTAAAATGAAAGAGTTTAAAGTTGAATTTTTTCCAAATTTAGAAATGTGTCATTTGTTTTGGAACAAACTAAAAAGGAAAGTAACTCATCTAATATGAAACGGAGGGATTAGTTGACAATCCAAGCTATCACCATTATGTTGGAACTTTTTCTAACTATAAGCTTCTGCTGCATCGTCCTTAGATACTACTTATTAATAAGAGGAAATAGCAGGCACCTCAAGGTGAACATGTGTGCTTGTTGAAATTAAAAGCTAATTTGAGGGTACTTTTGTCATTTTAAAGATATTCAGTCCTATCTGGCTCTCTATATAGCTTAACACGTGTTGTTCTAATTTTAACTGACAGTAACCGTTGGGTTTTTCGTTCAATCTAAGAAATAACACCATGCGCCTCTAGAACATCTGCTCGGTATCTCCTCTTGTTCTTAAGTTTGCGGTTGAGTGTATTTTCTTCCGTGGATCGTCTTTTTTGGTGGATTTCTCTTCCACCATCTCTGTGATTCATCTTTATCTGTTTTTATCTTAAGGAATATTTGAGAAAATTATTGAATGAATTATCATTTCTATTACAGTTCTCTAGGTGTTTGAAAAAATTCTTTAATGAATTACCATATCTATAGGCTAGCAGCAAACATCAATTTGTTTTTGGATCATGGGATCATTCGTTGGCCGTGCTAATTCATTCTAATGGCGGAATTTGAGCAAACGTAATTGTGATTTGTGTTCAATGTTAGTTTGTTTTTTAGGCAAAATATAAAGGACGACGCCTGATGCAATATTAAATGAGTTAGCTCCAGTCTTTGCAGTTCTAACACAAAAGTTCCTTTATGTTTAGTCAAACCAAATAAAAAGGCAGAAAACTAGTCTAAGAGAGAATTGACGTCTGCATTATGTACCATATGTTCCTTGTAAGCCCCTTTTCCCCTTAAACTTAAAGGCGAAATGCTTCTTGGCCACCTAAACTTGCACCGGATTTTAAAGCCGATATATGAACTTTTGATTTACCCATTTTAACATTTCAACTCAATCGTTTATTTATAAGTGAACACTTTAACCTTTGACTATGCTTATGTGGCAGCAGTACAGCTGACGTGGTCAAAGTGCGTGTTAATCACGCAGAAAAAGAGCGTCACTCCCTTTAAATCTGAATTAAAAAAAAAGTAAATAAAAGACAAACAAATAAAAAATAAAAAAATCCTGAAACCTAAATCCCTCCCCGTAACCCCTTTTCTTATCTTCTTTCTTAACCCCCACCCCCCACCCCCACCCTCTCCCCCCGTCTCCCTCAATTTCTTTTTCCAATTTTTTCATCTTCCCAAGTGTCCACCATGGCTTAAGTGATGCTATCAGATGAGTAAGTGATGCTACGAACTTTACCAGACCATGCCGGAGCAAGTGATCTCCATAGGTACTAAGGAAGAGTCTCCCATCAATAAATTCCTTTGAATTGGGCTGGCTGAAGGACCTTTTCTAATATTCGACGCGATTGACCCATGTAAAATTGGTTGTGATGGGTTGGGAATACTTACCTGGGGTGCAGAAATGGATTGGCATTGGTTTTGGGATCCAATTATCCCTGGAGCACCATGCCCAGCCAACTGGTGAAGTTCTGAGTTTTCAACTTGGTGGTGATGGTTGATTTCTAGAATGGTTTGAGCTGAATCTTTGCATAGAGGATCCATGGGTGTAGTAGAAGGGATTCCAATTGGAAATTGGTCTCCAATTGGCCCAGAATTGATAGGGGCATTTCGTCGAACACCTTGCTCAACCGGACTGCCTGAACTTTTGGATTGTAAAATTGGAGGAATTGGTTGGTACCCATATGAAATTGGAAGTGTAGGAGCATTCTCCTCATCAAGGCGAACATTTTGGTACCTTTCTTTTCCAATTTGGATACCTGGAACAACTTGCGCGTTCATTTTTGCCTCGCCGGAGTTCTGCTGCTCGTCGGAAGGGACGATTCCCACGGTGGAATTGTCGAACACCTAGTATTTTCAGGCGTTTTTTTTTTTCCTTTTTGTATCTGTAACTTTTTTTTTCTAATTTTGTATTTAAAAATGGAACCCACAAATAACACATGGCAAGTAATAAATAGCTTAGCATGATGTACAGTACATGTCAGCGCAATTGATATACACGCTCTGGTGGATGTGTTTATTATTTCCCATTTTATCAAGTTGGAGTGTTCAAATGGAAAAATCCAAAGTTCGTGTATCGGCTTTCAAAAGTCCTACAAGTTTAAGTGGCCAGGAAGCCATTACGCCAATGACAAAACCAAAAATGTAGCACGAGATTCCCAAAAATGTAGCATGAGAATAAAGAAGATAACAATATTGTGTCAAAATATTCTGCCAGAATCAAACAGCTAAACATTTTCATAGAAGAAATGAGAAAGAGAAATACATTAAATGACGTTACAATAGTATTAAACCCTCCTCCATCACCGCCCAACTCTTGTAAAAATAACCTAAAAGGAGGAAGAAAGGGGAAAAAAAACTATGAAACAAACTAGTCACTAAGCAGAAATTGAAGGGTATAACAAATGCCAAGCATGGCTTTAATATCAAACTCAGTGCAATTCATTCCAGCCATAGCTGCAAATCCAAAGTTATTGAATGGTCGCACTGTCACTGCTAGCAAGTTATACAACAAAGAATATCCAGGATGATGATAATAATGCTGCATGTTCGGGCATGCCCTCTTAGCTAAGAGCCACCATCCCTGATAAAACACGTGCATCACTTAAAAGGTAATAACTCCGAAAAAATCATTTCAACAAATAAGCAGATTGCTAATTATAAATTAAAAAATAGAAGCAAATAAGGAGACTGCCAATGCAGATACCATTTTGATCATCTTTGTTTTCATAGGTAAAATTGTGAAACTAACTATGTTCCCTGGCCAATGTATCCATGTCTCATATCACAATTCAGATGCAACTCCATTTCTGCGTCTAAACAACTCCATTAAATAATCATTACTTCAAAATTCTCAATTTCCTTACTATTGCAGACCATCTTTAATAATTGATCAGAATAAGATCATACAAGTGAATAATTTAGACCAACAAAAGAGTTACTCCTTTGTCCGAGCTTATCAATACTGCCTGCCTCTTTTATCACCCCATATTAGGTTGTTGGTATCCTGGAAATAGATGCAAATCTTCGCAACACATATTCCATCTACCTTTACTGAAAAGGCGGCAATGGAATTTCAAAATCATAAAAAATCAAACTTCACTCCTTATTTTTCTAGGGATAAATTTTCTCCCTCTTTTTGTTTTTAGCCACAATGTGTGTCACCAGGCAAATAAGGAGCACTATATATTAAGAGGAACGAACATCATACTATGAAAAGATGGGTATAAGATGCTTCAAGTTGCAGCATGCTGAATTTCTTGATGTTTCCTTTAGCAGGATTCTTAAGTTACTTCAAAAACTTAACTAAATGAATCCTGTTGCCCCATATTCCTTTACGTAAAACACTTCATGAACTTAGTTTTCGTTATATCAGAATAAGTGCATCCATGTTCTCCTGTGCAACTACATGGCCCTACATCAACCCAAAAGTACAAATAATAGAGGTTAAAGTTCTGTAGGTGCTGCTTAGGGACAACAGCCAATTTGCTATGTCATAACTGAATGTTGCATGCAGCAGACGCTGGTGCACTGTGTGGTCAGTTTACATCTTTCCAGAATCAATTCCCTTTCACTTTCAAATCCCATCATCTTTTCTTTCTAGAAAGTCCAAAATCCCATCATTAGATATCAATTCACATAAAACCATTTGAAGTTTAATTCCAAAAAGAAATTTTGGGTATTAAATGGTCAATCTCACTCAGATAAAACAACAGCTCTAATGGCCAGTCAAATGGCTAACAATGTTAATGAGATTAGGGCCTCAATATGAATGGAGTCTTTGCTGAAATTAGAATCAACAGGATTTCAATTCGCTTTTAATGGAAGAAAATTTTGAGTTCTCTAGATCAAAAAGAAAAAACATTACGTTTGCTTCATCATGGTCAGGGGTGGGACTCAGGGATTGAGCAAGCAAAGCTCAGTTGGTAAGATTTTTGTGTGTGTGTGTGTGTGTTGGGTTTTTTTTTTTTTTAGGGGGGGGGGGGGGGGGGGGAAGAAGGACATAAACAGAAACTTTTTGAACTAACATCAACCCTTCTTTAATATTTTCTCCCAGACACAGTTGCTTCTAAAGTAAAATTCAAGGCATACTGTACAACATCATCTTCTTGATCCTTGCATGAGTCCAAGAATATTTTCTACCTTCAACATCAGATTCAATTAAAACATCTGCTAATTTACAGAAGCATTAGATCCTGTTCAAAAAAATTTACAGAGGCATTGGGTGTTTATTTACATCTCCTTAGGACTTTTTCAACAACAAACTATATCCATTAAAGTATCCATCTAATAGACATATAACACATAAAGTCTGCATTACAAGTCTAATCAACCCCTAGCTGATGAACTTGAAGCACATTGATAATTTTTCCCAATGTAACTGATATCTTGCACAAGGAAAAGATCAGCCTAGCTGCATATACAAATAGTAGGCTGTCCAACTTCCACTTACAAGTATCACCATCAGTTAAGATGCATATTAATACCAATTTTCTTTCTTTCCTTCAGTATAAATTTAATCCAGTCTCCCAAGTCAACAGGAAAACACCAGCTGGCTGATTTTCATCACAACTTTTACATGTTGATATTTCTTTTACCATCTAGTTCAAATCCAATATTTGGTAAATAGTAACGGAATAATTACTTTTTTCTAATAATTACCTTATTTTGGCAACTGTAAAATATTCCTTTTTAGATTTTTCTTAGTCTACCATTCCTTGGAAAACTACAATAGAGTAGATCACTGCACAGAGTTTGCAGTATTAGCTCTTTTTCTTCTTCTTTTCTCCTCACGTTTTATTTGCTAATTCTAATATGCACCCCATTTATAAGCTTCCTATTATAAGGATGAGCAACATACAAAACTCTTCCCCCCTAAGCTACTTTTTTATGTTTTTTGCCTATTTAAACTTCTAAATCTTGCCAAACTGTGGTTTCTTAATGAATCTGCTACATGTCACAATAAAATACCTCAAACACACTCTATCCTATAGTGCATTTTACTGCGAGGAACAGACGTTGCCCATCAAGCAAATTGTTAAAGCTAGTTACCAGTATAAGTAAATATAAGTACTCCTTATAACTTTTAAAAAAAAAAAAAAAATGAGTAAACACAAAGAATCCTAGCAAGAGCCGTACCCAATCCAATCATTTCATTGATGTAACCTGACTCAAATATAATGATAATCAGCTCTTAGGAGTTGACTGCAAGGTAGCTATGATCAAATTCTGTGACTCCACTCATAAGCTATCAAGATGATGGAACATAGACAGAAAATAGGGGAGGTACCTGTTGCACCAGCTAATATATTTCATCATCAGGGATTTCTGGGTTCAAAAATTTCTTCGGATCTTTGCTGATTTCCTGATAATTCAATGTAGACTTAACCCTTTCAGGAACAGGTTCAAGTGGAATGATGCTATCTCTATCAATAACACCATCAATTAGCCCATATTCTACAGCTTCAATAGGAGACATGTAACGATCTCTATCAATATCTTTCTGAACTTGTTCATATGATCGTCCAGTGCAATTGGAAATGATTTTGGTGACATTGTCCTTATTATGCATTATTTCTCGGGCTTGAATTTCCACATCTATTGCTTGACCGCTTGCACCTCCAAGTGGTTGATGTATCATAATTCGAGCATTAGGCATTGCATAGCGCTTTCCTTTGGTACCACCACCAAGGATTATTGAAGCTGTAGAAGCTGCAATGCCAAGTGCAACTGTGGATACGTCGGCCCTCACCAACTTCACAACGTCAAAGATAGCCATTGTTGCGCTGGTAAACAAACATAGGCACATCAGAAGAGAGAAAAGGTGAAAATATTTCTATGGAAGATTCAACATCTTTTACAAACAAAACACCATGAACGCACGGAAACAAGCTAAGCTAAACATGTCAGTGGAAAAAAGTGAAATTTGCAAATCGAAAAACTAAATTTTGATGCATGGGCTTAAAGCATTTATCACACTTTCAAAAACAGCTTTCAGCATTGATGATTCAGAAAGTTGGACCTGAATCTGAAATACAGCGAGTGGAGAACTAATTGTTTGTATGCAGTAAAAAATAAACTCTTAGTTCAACTAAAATGAACAGTCAAACTCAAAAGAGGACGAAAATAAATTTCACATAATGGGGGAGCACAGAGGCTATTACACTCATGGTTTGAAGATAAGGGCAACAAGAACAAAAAAGGAGGCCCTACATCATTGCGTTTTTTTTTTGGGATGACCGAGAAATCGGGACAACCACAGCCTTTGAAACTACGGGATAATGGGCCCATCCCTCCATCCTTCTCCACTTAAATTCTAGGCTTAGTTCGCAAGGTGCAATGCTTGACATGTGACCTAAGTCACACGTCCCCAACCTTTGCCACTTGAACCAATCTCCGAGGGCCACTACATCATTGGTTGTTGACAAAATCAAAGTAAAAAAGCAGGGAAAAAGTTTACAATGCCCATTAGATACAACAGATCTCCTCTCTAAAAATTGAGGAAATGTATGCAAATGAGAAGGAGTAATAATGCACACTCAGCTCAACAGTCCTAATGAAAATTTCTCTAGACACCAAAGAGTAGATCATATAGACACTATAATTAGTTTCTCTATTAATCCCCTGCTTGTTTAAATAAGAAAGGCTATTATCTTTTCTCCCTTAATCAAGGGTAGGCTCTCTAGAGCAACATATAGACATCACACCGACACCCCCTCTTAGTGCTCTTTCAATGAACTCAAGCATCTTGTGAATTATAACACATGGTATCTAGTCATCCAACTCGGTGAATAAATAATTTTGTTGGCTCCAAAATAATATCAAGTAGTTGAGATTAAGGCTTAGTCGTGTTGGTACACTTATGTTACGTCTGAGTGTTGCTAGGGTTTAATTTTATTTTGTGTAGAGATTTGTAGGTGAAGGATAACCGTGAGATTCAAGAACATCTAGTTTTAGAGAATAGCTGATTTAACTTGAAAGACAAATTAATTGAGTTGAAATGAAATGGGCCTAAATAGAGTGAAATGGATACAGAGGATTCATATAGCCGACCTTAACTAGTTTGATATTGAGGCATAATAATTGCCGTCGTTCAAATTCTGGAATCATTTCTTTTTTCCTCTTCCTAATGTGATACTCATACACTTGAAGTTGGAAAACACATACAACATACAGGTTCAATCTTGTAAACCTATACCAAATTGATTCTAATATTATAAAGGCTGTAAACACCTCTACCTCGAGGTGAAAAAAGAAGTGCATTATCAAAACAAACTGAGGTTTATGCAATACATTAGCTCTGCCAATTTAAGTGTGATCCCAGCATATCTCTTTCATCCTTAGCAACACCCATTATCATCCCGTATAATTCTGGTATGAACCACTCGGTCCACTCCTACTGAACAAATAAATTCCTTCAGACATTTTTCTTTTGTAATCCTCACCACATTTTAAAGTCTCCAGACTTAAACCAGTTAGCATGACGTTTTGCTTCTCTTCAATTCTTAATCTAATCTTCACCTCTTAATCTAATCCCAGCTCCAGATGCAACAGCTTTAAGATGTAATAGAATTGACATGAAGCAGAAAAAGTAAATGATTTCTTATCCTTTCCCACAAGCTAGAAAAGCGTTGTGAAAGTATACATCAAGCTCATTCATGCGTCATATACCCCTCTTTTTTCCCGAAACACCAGAAGCTGAAAAAAGTTATTTGTTTTAACTATTCTGAAAATGTTGATTCACTGGTACCACCAGCCAAGTTATGCAGATGATGCTGTAAAAAGAAACTTCAACCATGAACTGTTGTTACGACTGCCTATGATTCAACAAAGCCAGTGTATTTTTCTCGGATCATTGTCTTTGAGTCAACAGCTTTAGCTCCATAAGTGCATTCCTTTGAGTGTATATCACCTCTTTTGCACTTCAAATTTCACAATCTAAGAAATGACATTGACTACTAGTACAAATCTACACCTCAGTCCCGAACTAGTTGGGCTCGACTATACCAATCATCTATTGGACTCATTTCATTCCAATACTCAATATATCGTCTCATAGAACAAAGGTGTCACAATCCAACTAAAGTTAAGATCTTTACTTTCTATGTTCTAACACTAAAAATCCTATCTTTAGCTAATCAATTTTCCTTTTTCATTGGTAACAAATAATGTTCAAAAAACAAATTTAAATAAAGAAACATTAGCTATTATAATTAAAATAATAAAAAGAAGAATATATCGCCTTATAGGGACAAAGGTGTCACAATCCAACAAAAGGTAGGATTCTTAATTTCAAAACATAAATTCTAACATTAAAAATCTAATCTTTAGCTACCAATTTTTCTTTTCTTCGTTGGTGACGAATAATGTTCAAGAAAGAAACAATAGCTATGTTAATAATTAAAACAGTAGTTAAAAATAACATAGTATGGGGCAAATAGTGATAAGTAAAGAGATACCTGAGGGAACCACCAGGAGAATTAATAAAGAGTCTAATATCTTTAGAGGAATCCATAGCATCCAACAATAAAAGCTGGCTAATAATAGCATCAGCAATGAAGTCGTCAATTTGACTACCCAAGAAAACAATCCTCTCCCTAAACAAAAGCCCCATTGCGTCGGCTTCAGCGCCGCGCATGGCCGTATCCGGCGTTTGTGGGGCCGACGCAAGTAACAACGACAACTTATCATCCTCACCGGTTTCAAAATTGGGGTTTAGAATTAGGGAATCTGAGAGGGGGGTTTTTGAAGCGGGTTGTTGGTGAGAAGAAGTAAGTGAGGATTTGAGAGATGATAAGGGGTATTTCCGAGATGGGTAAGGGCAAAAAGTGGGCGGGAGCTTAGGAATAGAGCTTCCATGTCGGAGATTGAGGGAGGAACAGTGAGGAGATAGGGAAGTAGAGAGAGTGAGAGAGTCCATGGCTATGGCTAAAGGAGGAAGAGATGAGAATTGTTTGGGTTTTGGGGTAAGGGGATGAGGAAAGGGGAGTTGCTTTTCACTGAGTTGAGCACAGAAAAAAAGACTGTTTATTGTTTTGGGTCGGATAAGGGCTATATGGGCATCCTGAAATTACAGACCAAATTCAAGTCAAATAAGTTATAATTTGGTTTTTTTTTTTTTTCTAGAGCCCGTTTGATCAAGATGTTAAAGATACTTATTTTGAAAAGTACTTTTGTTTAAATTATTTTTTGAAAAAGTACTTTTACAAATAATAATTTGTGTTTGGCCAATTCATTTGAATAGTACTTTTTACAATCTTTTTGTATTCGGTCAATCTTTCCGAAAAATACTTTTAAGTATCAAAGTACGAAAAGGACATTGAAGGTTTAATTTGAAAGTAGTATTAGTTAAAAAATAAATTTAAATATTTATTATAAAAGAATTAATGAAAATATAAAACATAGAGTAAAATATAAATTAAAAAGTCTAATCAATATAAAATATAGTTATTCCAAAACAACAATATTGAATATCTAGTATTACTTATTGTTTACATGATAATTTAAATATATTAAAAATATTGTTCTATACTAAATAAAATATACTCTTAGGAATAGGAGAAAGGGACAACAAATATGATTGAAATAAAAAAGAGAAAAAAGGTACGGTAGAAATTAAAAAATGAAAAGGAAAAGAAAATTAAAATTAATGAAGAATATTTAAAAAATATAAATTTATTGTAAGGTTATTTTTGTCTTGAATAAATTAGTTTTCTATTTCTGTTTCTGTTTCTAGTTTTCTCCCCTAAAGCAAAAAAATTGCTTTTGCTGCTGCTCAAAAGTATTTTTTTCATCTTAGCCAAATACCTCAAGTTTGACACACAAAAAAAAAAATACTTTGGCCTCCCAGAAGCTTGGCCAAACATGCTCTTTGTCACGACCTAATTTCTCCTATAAGCCGTGATGGCGCACAACGTTACCGCTAGGTAAGCCAACAGCGAACTAACCATGTAATTGTTTCTTTTAACAATTTAGAAATAGTTGATTTTTAATTATTGAATATATAAGAAGTGAAAAATTTAAGAAAATGAGAAATAAACAGTTTTTAAGAGCAAATAAGGTGAAGTAAATAATCAAAATCATCAAGTATCTACTAGCATAATTTCCAAGACCTGGTGTCACAAGTGTATGAGCTACTAGTAGAATATACAAAAATACTAAACTACTGTTTGAAATAAAGTAGACATATTCGGGTGATGCATAATGGGCTCGGAAGGCAGCTCACCGCAAAGTCTCGGAGTATCAAGAGTGCGCGCCGAGATGATAACCACATGCCTCTGCCTCAGATCCTGCACGGTTAGTGCAGAAGTGTAGCGTGAGTGCATAAACAACATTAGCCAGTAAGTATTTGTCTAACCTCGAAGAAGTAGTGACGAGGGGTCAACTTCGACACTTACTATGGGCTAACAAAATACCGAAATTCTAAATAAGCATGAGCTATGTAAATGATAATGAAAACACAATAACAAGAAATAAATAAATAATTATTTCACTGATAGTAAACCCCAAATCAGTTATCATCATTTAACAATTGTAACCTCTCAGGCCAATAAAACGATATCAAGTATAATTGGGCTCCACGTATTACTACGCACGAATTATGTCGAGGTCGTACGACCCGATCCAAAATACATATACATATACTGTGTGCACTGCCGAGGGTCGAACGGCACGAACCATAGATGCATCTATTAACCTGCTTAGGCGAACGGCCACCTCCCATGAGAGTAGTGGAATTTACCTCGCTCGCGGAAATGCTTGCGACGCGAGCGAACATAGATTTCTCAAAGTTATCATAAAATTCTTCAATTCTTTCCAAAAATATGAAGTCTAAACTGGAAAATTAAATCTTAAAATCCTCAATCTCATCTCTATTTAAGATAATTAATATGCATCATCAAGTAACGGTGCCAACAAAATATGATGTAAATCTAAGACTATCTGGACATCACATGGAATATAGCTACGCACGGACTCTTGTCACCTAGTGCATAAGTAGCTCCCCATACAAGTAATTTACAACAAAACACACCTAAGGGGATGAGTTCCCTTTTACAAGGTTAGGCAAAAGACTTACCTCGTTCTCAAGTTCATTTCCGATCCACAAATATGCTTTAAATCCTCAACTCGTGCCAAACGACTCGAAACTAGTCAAATATTATATAAATTAATCAATACAAATGTTTAAAAGTTCATAATATAACTACGGAGAAGGGTTAAATATACCCTTGTACTATGAAAAAAGGTTTAAACATACCCCTTGTTATACTTTCGGTCCAAATATACCCCTTGAGAAAAGTTCAAATATACCCATCTTCTGCTAAGTTTGTTCAAGGTTGACATCCAATTCTACTGACACTGACATTTGATGAGGTGGATGCCACGTGGCATGCCACCTCAACGCCCCTAACTCATTTTACCCCTCCCTTCTAATTTTTTTGCCATCACTAAACTTTCCTTCCCCTCGAAGAAAATTTTAGCGGTGGAAAAACAAATATAAGGGAGGGATAAAATTGGTTAGGGGCGCTGAGGTGGCATGCCACGTGGTATCCACCTCATTAAATGTCAGTGTCAGTAGGATTGGAAGTCAAACTTGAACAAACTTAGTGGAAGATGGGTATATTTGAACCAATAGTAGTACGGCAGGGATATATTTGGACTGAAAGTATAACAAGGGGTATGTTTAAACCTTTTCTCATAGTACAAGGGTATATTTGACCCTTTTCTGATTTAACTATTAGAGTAATTACCCAACCCAAATTGGAAGATTTCTAAAATTTACCCCCGTGTCCACGTACCCGAATTCCAGAAATGTTCAAAGAAAGATATTAACCATAACCTTACGAACTCAAATAAATAATTTTTACTCAATTCCATAACCATATTCATAGTTAAATCCCATATTTATCAAAACATAGGTTTTTTATCTAAACCCATGATTCTCACAAATTTTGCATGTTAAAATCTACCTAAAGTCTATGTTTTAAACTAATATTGTATAGAAAATACTTACCTCAAAGTGCTAGGTGAAAACCCTTCTCAAGAAGCTCCAAAATCACCCAAAAAGTGAGAGAAATGGGTTAGAAATGGCTTAAGTCACGTAATAAATGAAGCGTTCTGCCTCTAGGACTTCTGCATCTGTGGTCACTGGGCCGCATTTGCGGTACCGGTTCTGCGGCACTAGGCCCACTTCTGCGGAATTTCCCAGGCCTAGCGTTGGCGGCATCTATGAACGGGATCTCGCTTTCGCGGTCCCGCTTCTGCAGCTCCTCATCGAAGAAGCGAGGTCGCTCCTGCGCACGCCTCTCCACTTTTGCGGACATGCTCCAAAGCTTCTTCTGCAGCCAAAATCACGCATCTACAGGCTCGCGCCTGCGGCCAAAAGCTCGCAGGTGCGGGCATACCAAAACTGGTGCACCAGCAGCCCTTTTGAGTCCTAACTCAATCCGCGCATTGTACGAATGGCATCCGGGGCCCCTGAGGCCCCGTCCAAACATACCAACAAGTTTGAAATCATAAAATGGACTCGTTCGCACCCACAGAACGCGGAAAACAACATCAAAACCAAGAATCGCAACCCAAAACCAATAGGATCATTTTATGAGCTTCAAATTCTTCCAACTTGCTCCAAACGCGCCGAAACATACTTAAACTACTCGGAATGACACCAAATTTTACGTGCAAGTCTTAAATCACTATACAGAACTATTCCCAGGCCCGAAATTCCAAACGGACCTCGATAACATCAAAACCTACTCCATGCCAAATTTAAAGAATTTTAAAACCTTCAAGGTGCCAACTATCAGTATTAAGTGCCGAAACGCTCTCGGGTCATCTAAAACCCGATCCGAACATACGACCAAGTCCAAAATCATCATATGAACCTATTGGAACCGTCAACTCCTGGTTCCGAGGTCATTTACTCAAAATGTTGACCAAAGTCAAACTTAGCCTCTTAAAGCCAAACTAAGGAACCAAGTATTCCGGTTTCAACCCAAACCCTTCCAAATCCCGAACTAATTATCCCGCAAGTCATAAAATGGTAAAAGCACATACGGGGAGTCGTATTTAGGGGAACGGAGACCTAGAAAGCAAAACGACCGGTCGGATCGTTACATTCTCCACCTCTTAAACAAACGTTCATCCTAGAACGGGTCTAGAATCATACCTAGAGTGTTGAATAAGTGTGGATATTTGTTCCGCAAGTCCTCCTCGGCCTCCCAAGTCGCCTCCTTGACTGGTTGGCTCCTCCACTTAACTTTTACTGCGGAAGTATTCTTGGACCTCAACTGACGAACCTGCCTGTCAACAATGGCAACTGGCTCCTCTTCATAACCCAAGCTCTCATCTAGCTGAACCGTGCTGAAGTCTAACACATGGGACATGTCGGCAAGATACATCCAGAGCATAGGCACGTGGAAGACCGGATGAACTCCCGATAGACTGGAGGCAAGGCGAGCTCATAAGAAACCTTTCCAACTAGCCCCAACACCTCAAATGGACCTATAAACCTTGGGCTCAATTTGCCCTTCTTCCCGAACCTCATGATCCCCTTCATCGCAAGACTTTCAAGAGAACCTTCTCGCCCATCATAAATGATAAATCACGCTCCTTCTGATCCGCGTAACTCTTCTGTCTAGACTGTGCTGTGCGAAGTCGCTCCTGAATCAACTTTTCCTTTTCCAAGGCATCCTTCACCAAATCAGTACCATATAACTTAGCCTCACTGGGCTTAAACTATCCGATGGGTGAACGACATCACGACCGTATAAAGCCTCAAATAGAGCCATCCCGATACTGGACTGATAACTATTATTGTAAGCAAACTCAGCTAAAGGCAAGAATCGATCCCACTGCCCTCCAAAGTCAATCACACATGCTCTAAACATGTCCTCCATGATCTGAACTGTCCTCTCCGACTGCCCGTCGGTCTGCAGATGAAAGGCTGTGCTGAGCTCCACCCGGGTCCCCAACTCACTCTGTAATGCTCTCCAGAAATGCGAAGTAAACCGAGGGCCTCTATCTGATATGATGGAAACAGGCACACCATGCAACCGAGCTATCTCCTGAACATAAATCTGGGCTAACCTTTCTAAAGTGTACGTGGTCACAACCAGAATGAAGTGCTCCGACTTGGTCAACCTGTTCACAATGACCCAAACTGCATCAAACTTCTGCAAGGTCCGCGGCAACCCAACTACGAAGTCCATAGTAATGCACTCATATTTCCACTCAGGTAAAATCATTTGCTGAAGTAGGCCACCTGGCCTCTGGTGCTCATACTTAACCTGTTGGCAATTTAGACACCTCACAATATACTCAACTATGTCCTTCTTCATCCGCCGCCACCAATAATGCTGCCTTAGGTCACGATACATCTTCGTAGCACCTAGATGAATAGAATATCGAGAACTGTGTGCCTCCTCTAGAATATTTTCCCTCAGCCCATCAACATTAGGAACACATAGACGACCCTAGAGTCGCAGAACACCATCCTCGCCGATAGTAACCTTCCTTGGCACCACCCTGTAGTACCGTCTCTCTGAGAACTAACAACTGCGGATCATCAAACTGACGAGCCTTGATCTGATCCAATAGTGAAGACTAGGCAACGATGCATGCAAGAACTTGGCTGAGCTCTGAAATATCCCAACCTCACAAGTCTGTTAGCCAAGGACTGAATGTCCAAAAATGGCCTTTCCTCTACTGAAATGAATGCCAAGCTACATATTCTCCGCCTTTCTGCTCAAGGCATCTGCAACTACATTCGCCTTTCCCGAATAATAAACAATGGTAATATCGCAGTCCTTCAGTAACTCAAGCCACCTGTGCTGCCTCAAATTGAGACCCCTTTGCTTGAACAAATGCTGCAAGCTGCGACGATCAGTGTAAACCTCACAGGACCCCATAAAGATAATGCCTCCAAATCTTATGAGCATGAACAATCGCGGCCAACTCCAAATCATGTATAGGGTAATTCTTCTCGTGGGGTTCAACTGACGTGAAGAATATGCAATAACTCGCCCCTCCTGCATCAATACACAACCCAAACCAACGCGTGAAGCGTCGCAATATACAATATACATCCCTGAACCGGAAGGCAACACTAACACCGGTGCTGAAGTCAATGCAGTCTTGAGCTTCTGAAAGCTCACCTCACAATCATCAGACCATCAGAACGGAGCACCCTTCTGGGTCAATCTAGTCAAAGGTGATGCAATAGATGAGAATCCCTTTACAAACCGACGATAATAACCTGTTAACCCCAAGAAGCTCCTGATCTCGGTCACTATGGTGGAACGAGGCCAACTCTGAACTGCCTCGATCTTCTTGGGATCAACCTTAATACCCTCGTCTGATACAACATGCCCCAAGAATGCCACATAATCTAACCAAAACTCACACTTGGAGAACTTAGCATATAGCTTCTGTTCTCGCAAGGTTTGAAGTACCACTCTCAAATGTTGCTCGTGCTCCTCCATGCTACGCGAGTAGATCAAGATGTCATCAATGAAGACAATGACAAACGAATCAATTATGGCCTGAACACCCTGTTCATCAAATCCATAAGCTGGGGCATTAGTCGAACCGAAGGACATCACTAGAAACTCATAATGGCCATATCTAGTCCGAAAAGTAGTCTTCGGAACATCCGAATCCCGAATCTTCAATTGATGGTACCCCGATCTCAAGTCGATCTTACAGAGCACCCTGGCACCCTGCAACTGGTCAAATAAATCATCAATACACGACAACGAGTACTTGTTCATGATGGTAACTTTGTTCAACTAGCAGTAATCAATGCACATTCGCATAGTCCCATCTTTCTTCTTCACAGATAACATTGGTGCACCCCAAGGCGATACACTCGGTCTGACGAATCCCTTTGCTAGCAACTCCTCAAGTTGTTCCTTCAACTCCTTCAACTATTTCGGATCCATGCGGTACGGTGGGATAGATATAGGCTGGGTACCTGGAGCCAAATCAATACAGAAATCGATATCATGATCTGGTGGCATGCCTGGAAGATCAGAATGAAATACATCGGAGAACTCCCGGACTACGGGCACTGAATCAATCGCTTGAGTCTCTGCTGTAGTATCTCGAACATATGCTAAATAAGCTAAAAAACCCTTCTCGACCATGTGTCGAGCTTCAGAAAAGAGATAACCCAACTAGATGCACTTACAAACAAACCCTTCCACTCCAATCTAGGTAAGTCTGGCATCGCCAAGGTAATAGTCTTGACATGGCAATCAAAGATAGTGTGATATGGGGATAATCATTCCAAACCTAGGATGACCTCAAAGTCGGTCATATCAAGCAACAAGAGATCTGCTCTAGTATCATAACCATAAAATGTAACAATGCAGGATCGATAGAACCGATCCACAACAACACAATCGCCCATTGGAGTGGACACATAAACAGGAGTACCCAAGGGCTCGCGAGGAACATCCAGGAAATGAGCAAACAGAGATGACACATATGAATATGTAGACCCTGGATCAAATAAAACCGAAGCATCCCTACCGCAGACAGAAGTAATACCTGTGATCACGGCATTTGAGGCCACCGCATCTGGTCTGGCCGGAAAAGCATAGAATCTAGTAGGTCTGGGCATATATGGGGTAAAACCGATAACCCAAACCGTTAATTCTTTATTGGGTTATCGGTATTGGGTTATTGGGTTAACGATTCGGTAACGGTTTAAATTTTTTTCACTATTGGGCTATCGGTTGGTCCTCGGTTTGCCAATTTTGTTAATGGGTTAACCGATAACCCAATAAGATTAATAAAATTATGACTTTACCCTTAAGTATATACATATGCTAGGGCTTTAGTTCGTTCTCTCCTATTCTTTCTCACCGCACTCTTCAGCTGCTTCATCTTTATTCTTTATAGACCTTACTAGTTACTCCTAGCGTAAGTCTATAGTCTTATACATTAGGCTTTTAATTTCAATAACAAAATTCATCTTCATATTGGTATTTTTGACTGTTAATGATTTTTTTTGTTTCTTAATTTTATGAGCTCACGTTGTGCAACCTATACTACTACCAACTTCTCTTCGCACTTAATAGTTCTCAATCAACAATCTTCGTTAGTTTCTGGTATATTTTTGAACATTATTCTTCTGTACAGTACGCTGAGCTTTGACAACAGGACAATATTTTCTTGCCTTCTAGGTATTTTTCATTTCTGTGTTAGTATTGCTCATGCACAGATCAAGGTTTTGCTCTATGGTTTCTTTTTTTAGGTTAGGCATTTGACAACAACATCCAGTTTATCTTAGACTGTTAGTACTATATGTTTGGACTTGTTAATTTTAAGGTGAAATTGCTACTACTTTGTATTATTATTAATGTATTTGGATAACTGTTGTTGAAGAATTAGTACTATTCCAGTTGTGGCCACTGGACAGAACGCAGAAATGGGTAGTATATGATATGTAGATTCTTCTATTTTTGCTTAACTCCAGTGAATTGTCTTCTCTTTTTTTGCTTAACTCTAGATTGAGTTATCTTATCGGGTAAACTGATAATAAAATCGATAACGATCGATAACCGATTAATCGATAACTGATAACCGATATCTTATCGGTTCGGTTAATTGGTTTATCAAATTTGTAAATCGATAACCGATATGCTAAACCGATAATATTCATAATCGAACCGAACCGACCGATGCCCACCTCTAGAATCTAGCTGGAGTGTCACCTGACTGGCCTCCACCTACTTGGACTCCACCTCTAGGGCGGCCGCTACCCACCTGCCCTCCGCCTCTAGGCGGCCGGACGACTGGTGCGGCAACTGGTGCTGTAATTATAGGCTGAGAACCCTGATGTACTACCTTGCCCCGAAGTCTGGGGCAAAACCTCTTCATGTGGCCAGGATCCCCGCACTCGTAACAACCTCTCGGAGCGGTGGACTGCTGACCCGAAGTCTGAACCCGATGGCCTGAATACCCACTAGAGGAACCCTAAATAGCTGGTGGACGATAGGAACTCTTTGGCATGGCGCTGGAATAAGGTTGCACTGGAGCACGCCGAGGAGGCGGTGGTGCTGGATATATGGGCCTGCTAGGCTGCCCCCTCCCAAACTGACCTTTGCCCCCAGATGGGGCACCACGGAAACATCCGAAATAACGGAACCGCTTGTCCTGCGACATCTGCTCTTGGCTCCGCTAGTGGACACCGTCAATCCTCTGAGCTATCTCTACAACTAGCTCGTAAGAAGTCCCCATATCAACCTCTCGGGCCATGGTGGCCTGGGTACTAGAGTGCAAACCTGCAACAAACCTTCACACTCTCTCTGCATTAGTAAGAAGTATCAGAAGTACATGGCGAGACAACTCAGAGAATCTTACCTCATAGTTGATCACTGACATCTGACCCTGTTGGAACTGCTCGAACTGGAATCGCAACTCTTCACTCTGAGAGGGTGGGATATACCTATCCAAGAAAAGGCGTGTGAATTGATCCCTAGTCATGGGAGGGGAACCTGCTGGTCTGCCGAGAAGATAGGACTTCCACCATCTACGGGACCTGCCCTCCAACTGGAAAGTAGTAAAATCCACCTTGTGGGACTCTAATATCCTCATGTTGTGCAGCATGTCCCTGCACCAATCAATGAAGTCTTAGGGATCCTCATGTCGCTCACCTCCGAAGGCAGGAAGGTGTAGCCTAGTCCATTTGTCCAATAGTTTCTGCGGCTCGCCGGCCGCAGCTGGTCTAGGCTCAGGTATAGCTGCTGTCATTGGCTGGGCTCCGCCCACGGGTAGTGTGCGGGTTTGATACATGGTAGCTGAATGCCCAGGAGCCTGAGCAATAGGGATCTATGCTCCCCTTCCCGCCTGAGAGGTGGTTGTGTCTACTGGAAATAAACCAGCCTGAGTAATAGTATCCATGAACTATAACATACTACCCATGACCTCCTTGCAGACATGAAATCTACCGGGGCTGGCTTTACTGTTGGAACCTCGCCTTGCTCCTCGATAATGGATCCTCTACTGGATCTGTAGGTGGCATAGCTGGAGCAACTCTGGGACATCCTCGTCCTCTACCATGGGCTGGAGCGCCTCCCTCGGCCTCTGCCTCAGCTTCTAGCAACAGGGGGAGCAACTCCTCCCTGGTCTGGAACATCCGTTGTGAGCGTTCTCACCATCTGTGAGAGAATAAGAGAAAGATACTTAGTACCACATCAACTGCACGATAGAAGATGAAGTTTCCTACCACCCTATAGCCTCTCGAAGATAAGTACGGAAGTTTCCACACCGACCCGCAAGACTCTATTAAGCCTGCTCATAACTCGTGAAACCTACATGAACCTAGTGCTCTGATACCATGTTGTCACGACCCAATTTCTCCTATAGGCCGTGATGGCGCCCAACGTTACCACTAGGCAAGCCACCAGTGAACTAACTATGTAATTATTTCTTTTAACAATTTGGAAATAGTTGATTTAATTATTGAATATATAAGAAGTGAAAATTTTAATAAAATGAGAAATAAATAATTTTTAAGAGCAAATGAGGTGAAGTAAATAATCAAAAATCATCAAGTGTCTACTAGCATAATTTCCAAGACCTGGTGTCACAAGTGTATGAGCTACTAATAGAATATACAAAAATACTAAACTACTGTCTGAAATAAAGTAGACAGATTCAGGTGCTGCAGAACGGGCTCGGAAGGCAGCTCACTGCAAAGTCTCAGAGTATCAGGAGTGTGCGCCGGGATGATAACCAAATGCACCTGCCTCAGATCCTGCACGGTTAGTGCAGAAGTGTAGTGTGAGTACATAAACAACATGTACCCAGTAAGTATCTAGTCTAACCTCGAAGAAGTAGTGACAAGGGATCGACTTCGATACTCACTATGGGCTAACAATAAAATACCGAAATTCTAAATAAGCATGGGTTATGTAAATGATAATGAAAACTCAATAACAAGAAATAAATAAACAATTCTTTCATTGATAGTAAACCCAAAATCAATTTTCGTCATTTAACAATTGTAACCTCTCAAGCCAATAAAACGATATCAAGTATAATTGGGCTCCAAGTATTATTACGCGCGATTTATGCTGGGGTTGTACGACCCGATCCAATATACATATACATATACTGTGTGCACTACCTAGGGTCAAACGGAATGAACCATAGATAAATCTATTAACCAGCTAAGGCGAACGGCCCGCTCCCGTGAGAGTAGTGAAATTTACCTCGCTCACGGAAATGCTTGCGACGCGAGTGAACCTAAAGTTCTCAAAGTTATCCTAAAATTCTTCAATTCTTTCCAATAATAAGAAGTCTAAATTGGAAACTTTGAATCTTAAAATCCTCAATCTCAACTCTATTTAAGACAACTAGTATCTATGAATGTGCGTTGCACGTTAATAATGACACGTGATAATTTAAACATTTATTTATATAAAAGAATAATAAAATTTAATTAATGAGAGAAATTTTATGTATAATAATACAACAACCATCTAAATGCCAAAAAATATTATTACATTAGCATAATACATGAATTTAAAATAAAAGGATATCATCAAAACTTACACAAATGATCAATTTTGTCATATTAGTTAGATAATTATATATTATAGTTTAAAAGTATTAAATATGATGGTATCTTAACAAACACTTCTTTATGGACAATATTTTTTGTGTATGTTTCCTCCTAATGCATTGGTTGCTCTGCCTTAATCAGAGCTCTTATTGTCGATCTTTATATCCCTCTTGAAAGTGCAACATACAGTTGTTCGTGCAAGAAAACATATTGTGGTAACAATATTTAGGATGTTTGTCCTTATGCTTTATTTATTATATTTTTAAAATATAAACATACTAAAAATTATTTTCACACAAATTTAAAAGGATATTCCTTAATTTTGAAAGACGAAAGTTGAATTCAGGGATAAGAATATACTTAGAAGCACATTAACCAGTATCATAATTTTTGCATGTATGACGTTATTGTCAAAACTTCTATATACCATCTGTGTGCTATTACATAAGCTACTCGGCGTATCTAAGTTTTTCACCAAACGATTCATCAATATCCAATATATCTCTAGAACTCCGATCAATTATATATTTCGATCATTTGACACTTAGCCATAAGTGCTTCATCCCATATTATCAATTTTGTTTTCTTTATAAATTTAGCATCATTGCTCTGCTTTGATATATTTGTGATGGTTATTTAAGTTGTTTGAAGAGGTATATCAAATCTAAAGTGGGTGGTCTCACAATAAAATTATTGTTGGCACACCACTTGCTATTATTGCTAACAATGTCATACCTCTTGATATGATATTTGCAAGTAATGCATGATATAGAAATATTATTTTGATTCCACCGGAGGCATCTACAAAGAATAATCTCGTTATACCAGAGTCGGCTCTTTATAATATAGTATCGAAAACTTATTCTTGCTTAGGATTTAGCTTTGATTATGCTTCCTCAGACACTTTGTATAGCATTTTGATTCTTAATAATATACGACCAATAATTGAATTGGATTCTCTTACTAAATAATTAGTTAAAAGATTTAATTATTTGATTTTAACATAAAAAATAATTCATTCTATTTTAATTCAGATCTTAATATTAGTTTATATCTTGTTTTAAATATTTAACCTTAATTATAATTTTATCCACCATAAATTTTATTTTCAAAGAGTAAAAGATTGATATGATATTTCACTTTTAGATCTATATGTTTGTAGAATTTTTAGTGGTATTGACTCTTACCAACTATTTTTTTTATCTTCTCACTCATTTATATTCTTAAATATTTTCTTAGTTGTTGTTTAATTGTTGGGTATTTTTCAATATTATACGAAAAACTGATTAAACAAATATTATTTGAGTAGAAAAATAGTTCAAATATAATATAAAAATATATTATCGTGGGAGTATTTTTTTCTCAATTTCAACTCTTTATGAATTCCATTTAATATTTCTTTTATTTATTATTCTTATTGGATATTATGTAGTGGTAATGTATTGCCAATTCAGAAAATTCTTATGAAATTGATTTGGCAGAATAGCCTCGTAGGTACTTGTACTTGTTAGCGTTTGTCATCCCGGTCTCTATACTTAAAGAAGATTCATCCAGACACTTATAGTTGTTCAAAGCCAATATTTTAAACCTCTCTCACCTCGCGTGTTCTTCAAATCTCTGACATGGATGACACATCAGTGGTCACGTCAAATTTTTTGTTACACATCATTATTAACTTATTTTTCACATTATTTAAAAATTATTCATTTCCTTTTCTTTTATTCCACCATTTGCTCCATTTTCCTCCTCCCTCACCATTTTTATTCTCCATTCACAAATTTTAAAAATCTCCTAACCATCACTGTGTGCGACCCCTCTTCGACCATCCTTCACCTACAAAGCTTCTTCACAGCCAACATTCCACCATAGCATCACCAATCAACCAC